TGTTTTTACTGTTTTGGAGTTTCTTTTGAAATTACAAATTTAAAAATAGAATTTAGCTTCAACGTGGGCATGCAGGATCTCAGTACCCTGACCAAGGATGGAAACCACACCCCTGCAGTGGAGGCATGGAGTCTTAACCACTGAACTTTCAGGGAAGTCCCTGGAGATTTTTTTTAGATGATTGTATAAAAAAGGAAGAAATAATCATTTATCAGCTCTCTGTAGCTCTCTGGATTTCTCTCACAGTATCTGTCTTGGGAGAATGCTAATGGTCAGATTAAACTCTCTCAATACAATGGTCCAAATGAAGAAAGCATACACCAGCTCCAATATCATATTTTCAATTCTCCTTTCTGGCTCTTAATAATTTCCCTGATACTATAGATTTGTGATAAAGCAAATATATGTGTTCTCCAGAAATGTGTGCGTATGGCAGACAAACTGATGTGATATTTCCTGCCCAAACTACTTATCTCTTTCTTCCTTCATCCTCAAGCTTACTGAGCCCCCTACTCCTTGTATACATCTGTAGTGATTAAGGTGGAAGGGACTTAGGTTCTTCTGAGGAAGCTTCCCTGGTGGCTCAGTGGTAAAGAATCCGCCTGCAATGCAGGACAAGCTGGTTAGATACCTGGGTTGGGAAGATGCCCTGGAGGAGGAAATGGCAACCCACTCCAGTATTCTTGCCTGGAGAATCCCATGGACAGAGGAGCCTGGTGGGCTGTAGTTTATGGGTTTGAAAACAGTTGGACATGACTGAGTGACTAAACAAAAACAACAAAGACTCCTGAGGAGCCCCTGAGATAAGAAATATGAAGTATACCCTTGGAGCACAAAGAGAACCAGTTCAACATCTAACGATTGGCTGCATATCCTAAATCACCAATGAGCAGAATGTTATCATGGTTTTTAAAAAGCAGATCTTCTTGATATTAATGGAATAGATATAATGTCTATTGATTTCTTTGGTTTAAAGAAAGCTGTGTACAGTGATAGAACTTCTTTTCCAAGAAAAATTGTTCTCATTTGTTTTTTGAGCTATGATATCATGTATTGCCCCAAGATTTATGCCTGGTGTTATATTTCCATTAAGTGTTTTCATGTGTTCTGGTAACAAGATGGTTTATTTCAGTTTCAGTGCATAACTTTTTTCTTAAAACTTTTTATTTTATATTGGAGTATTCCCAATTGATAGTTTCAGATGAACAGCAAAGGGACTCAGACATACATATACATATATTCATTCTTCCTCAAACCTCTCTCCCTCCAGACTGCCACATAACATTGAGCAGAGATCCCTGGGCTATACAGTGGTCCATTTTAAATAGAGCAATATGCACAAGTTGATCCCAAATGCCCTAATTATCCCATTCCCCCATTCTTCCACTCTGGTAACCATGCATAGGTTATCTATGTCTGTGAGTCTGTTCTGTTTTGTAAATAAGTTCATTTTTATCTTTCTCTTTCTTTGACTTTCTTCACACAGCACAACAATCTCCAGGTCCATCCATGTTGCTGCAAGGAAGCACCCTCTATATTCCTCTTAAGAGGGGCCCCGCAAAGCCAAACCTAGGTGGTAATAGCCTGAATTGCACCAGCACAATTTAATACTATGCCATTACACCTAAAACATTTACAAGAGTTGCAAATCTACTTATTTTAAGCACAGTTTATATAATACTTTGACAAACAAAAATATACACTTAGAACTATTATATGTCTCTATCTGCTCCGTAGCAAACTTACAATAAATTATACATTATACTAGAGTACATTTTCTTAAAGGCTAAAAAGAAAAAGCCACATTCATGTTTAAAATACAATGCTAGCTCATTATTAAAAAAAAAAAAGCTAACAGCCATTATGTAAGATTCACTCATTTCAAGCTTACATTCATTTGATATTCACATCAAATTCATTACTTATAAGATTGGCAATGAAGCTGGCTTTTAACACTGTTTGGAAGTTTGTTCCTGACATTTCAGTTCAGCTATGAGCTTGCTATTTTGAAAATTATGTATGAAAAGAAACATGAAAATGACACAAGAAACACGTTACACTCTTTGTAAAAGTATGAAAATAAAATCTGTGTTTTATTCTTACGCTTTGCCCACAGATATCACCTCCAAAGAGTGATACAGTGGTGTTTGAGATGTTGCTGTTTTATTTTCATTCTGCATGGGTTTCTGAAAATTAGGTCCACCAAGGAAAAACAGAAGTCTGCAAAGCTGTGAATGCTTCCCATGATGTCAAGAGAAAGCAACTGATGAGCATAATCCATTGTCTACCACATCTCTCAAATTAGTTTCTTCCTTGGAAATTGGGGAGTTTGTGTGTAAATGAGCCTAAATAAAGACATTATAACTGCTCTTTCATTCTTTTGGATACTCAACTTTTTGTGTGCTTTTAAAAGAATCATCTTGCTAATATTTAAACATTTACAGGTGTATTTTACACTTATCTAGTTTTTATGTATATCTGGTTTGAGAGTAGGAAAGAAATAGTAAGTTAAATAAAAACAGTATTATTTATTAGCTTAAAGTATTTAAGCTTTCTGGTTTTTAACATTTGGGACAAGGCGAATGCTTTTCCCACTTTATTTTTCTACTATTACAAAATAAATGGAATGGGAGAAAATTTCACTATTCGTATTTATTCCTTTTCACTGGATTTAAATATGGTCATTGGACTACTGTTACCCAACAAAATTGTAAAATATAATATCAGTAGAGACACTACTTCTCTATTTCATGCTACTATAACATGGGTAATGTGTTTCTACGGAAGACTGCCTAAAGGGGTTGAAACAAAAATTAATAGTGATGAAATGGGTGAAAATAATTATTCACACAGAGTGCTGGAAAGAGGCTCATGTGAAGTATCATACTTGCAAGGAGCTGCAGTTCGTCAGTTAATTACCTTTACATGATAGAAGTTCCCACCTTTGTAGTTTTTAAAAAATGTGTGGCCTCTTTCAGGTTCTTCTCTCAACCCATGTACAAGAACTTTGGGACTCCCACACTTAGTGGTCCCCAAAATGTGCTTCTTTTCAAGCACTCCATAGAACAGTGAACATAGAGCAGATGCTGAGCAAATAGATGAGTAACAATAATTCTTTTTTCATTTAGGTTATATTTTATGTTTTGTAAAAGTTCTGAATGCAACGTCTTATTCACCATCATGCTTGGATAAATCATTAAAAATATGGGTGAAGGTGAATGTGTTAATCACTCAGTCATGTCCGATTCTTTGTGACCCCATGGACTGGAAATATGGGAATGACAATTAAAATATGGGAATGACAAATAAAATGACTTATTTTCATATTTAAGAATTACCCTGTAAGTTAAATTCATGTTTAATAACATGGAGAAGGAAATAGCAACCTGCTCCAGTATTCTTGCTTGGGAAATCCCATGGATAGAGGAACCTGGTGGACTATAGTCCATGGGGTCGCAAAGAGTTGGATGTAACTGACTGACTTTCACTTCACTTAATAACAAAGGAGATTATTATTTGTTGACTTTAGACAGTTACAATAAACAAGGAATTCTAGCTTCCTAAACACAACTTTGGGACTTAAAGTTGACACTTCACTTTGTCTATGAATTGCAAAAAAAAGAATTTTTTTTTTTTTGAATAAGTGTGTTAGTTTGAATGACTCAGACTGTTTTTCTTTATTGGATCAAATGTTCGGATAACTTTTCAGCTGATTAGCTCATTCTGCTTTTGCAGAGGTAGCTCCAGTTATTTCTACTGTGTGACTGGTGGAAAAACATTTAAAATTCTAGAATGGATACAAACCATAATGTATAAATATACACATAATTTTTTTAACTCCAGAAAAGGAGTAAAACAATATTCAGTGACTAACCTCATGAAAGTTATGTAGATACCAAATGTTAAAATTGATGGCTTCTTTCCTTTAGGATGCATTTTTACTTTCTCCTTTCTTCTGCACTTTAAAATTCACTGTATACCATTTGTAGTAGTGATTTGTCTAGTACCTAAGACTGGCTTCTGCAAAAATGTGCTGCACAGTAGCTCTCTTGACACTCAACTATCCTCATTAACAAACATTCAAAATTGAGTGGTTTTGCTTTTCTAATTTTACCACTATCAGTAGTGTGGTTTGTCTCTCACTTTGATAGGCCGTGTAGCTACCTCACCTTATAAGTGGCTCAATTTCACTTCCAATACAAATAGACCATCAAGAGATGACATTTTTGTCATGAAGCAAAATGTTCCAAACCTCAGATGAAGGTAAAATTGACTGTTGTTTCTGGCACTTTCTACTTAATGGCCTTCTTGATTTATCACTGCCAAATTGCCTAATGATCACGCCTTTCTCACTTTACATACTTTCCCCAATGCATATGGTAGTCACATGGTAGTTTTAGATACATCCAAAGGAGCCAGGAATACTCTACCACAATGCACTCTACCTTACTATTATCTTGCATGTCAAGATTTGCTGTTACGCAATATTTTTTTTGTTTGCTTTGCCTGTGCTCAGAATAACACGTATCACCAGTAAAAGAAAAACAAACTGCATATTCAGCAAATGTTATAGTTAACAGGAAGGAAGAAATTACTCATCACACCAGAGAAATCAGATGACAAATTCACTGTACGATCCAGTGGAGTGACAGGAATTATTCTCATAACTTCAGTGTGATAGTTAAATTGGACTCTCGGGGCATTCTCCAACAAGGTCAGGCTCAAGGCTACTCAAACTCCTTGGCTTTCTCATACCTAAACTTCCTTTTTCCATAATTAAGGTGAACACTCTATTTGGCTTTCTGTTTTTTGAGTGGGATTTTAGTCATGTTCAAATACTTAACAAAACTACCGAGAGCCAAAATTAAATGAAGATGAGACGTGTCCGTGAAGGAGAGAGAGCTGCTGCTTCAAGGGTGCTTCCTTTTGACTTGTCTTGGATTTGTGCAAGTTAACTACTCTATGGACTTTTGTTCTCCTCACTGTTATCTTTTTTAAAAAATATACTGTATAAGCCGCAAACCACCCTTCCAGGACTAGTCTGCTCTAATGCTCTGAGAAAGCAGAGTTTTATGCGGATGTGGTTACTGTAAATTATCCTCAGTCCCAGAGCCCTCTGGACTTGAATCCATTTCCAGGAGGGCCTCCTGATGGGTGAAGGTCGAGCTGAGAGTTATGCTCTGCCGTGGCTTCACAGGTGCGAGTTCATCTAGTTTAATGTTTTCATTTCTAACCAGAATCGTCTTGTCCATGTTTTCCTCACTGTGCCTTGCGACAACAGCATCGAATACATCCAATTTTGGTGGTAAGGTTCCACTTTCAAACAGGTATTTGGCTAGATAGGAGATGCAAATGTTGGATAAGAATGAGGTCACCATGGCGAGAGTTTTAAATGGGAATCTCTGGTTATATATGCCACCTTTATCAATGTAGTAGCCAGGGTAAAAGATCAAAGGCTGCAGGTTCAGGTAGGGCTCCCCGCCAGTGACTCGCAGGAAAAGGCCCGAGACGTAACCTGCCGCCGCCCCATACGTGTTGGTACCCTTGATGAAGAGCACGCAGAGCAACTGCGGGAAGATGATGATGTAGACCAGGTCAGAGCTCAGGTACCAGAGCCCATACACCGTCTTCGTCAGCAAGGCCATGGTCATCGCAGAAGCTCCAAACACGAATACCGTGATGCGCATGACCCAGACGATCTCCTTGTCGGAAGCCTGTAAGAAATCGCCATCGAGTCAGTTTTTCTCAGAAAGTGCTGGCTTCTCCAGGAGGAGAATGAGATGCCTTCCTGTGCTTTAAAGCTGCCCTAAAGAACAACTCTGGTTCAAATGGCACAGCCTACAGGTAAAACCAGCAGCAAGGAACAGAGCAATCTAGGTGACCTTCATTGTGGACCTGGGGAGGAGATTCAGTGATCCGTATGACGGAACCAGAGCGCACCTTTGCGCTGCTCGCTGAATGTCAGAAAGAGACTCAAGATGCTGCAATGTGGCAGTGAGGGGGCGTGGCCTATCTGGCTTCCTTTCTCCGTTGAGAATAACCGCCTTACAAAACAAGTGGGACTACTTAGATGCTATATGGCAATACTTGTATAACATCGTATAAATATTGTCTTCAAAGAATAGTTTATAAGCTTTTAAAAAAAATCATGAAACTAAAAAAGTATTATGGGCTTCCCTGATAGCTCAGTTGGTAAAGAATGTGCCCGCAATGCAGGAGACACCAGTTCCATTCCTGGGTCGGAAAGATCCGCTGGAGAAGGGATAGGCTACCCACTCCATTATTCTTGGGCTTCCTTTGTGGCTCAGCTGGTAAAGAATCTGCCTGCCATTCGGGAGACCTGGGTTCCATCCCTGGGTTGGGAAAATCCCCTGGAGAAGGGAAAGGCTACCCACTCCAGTATTCCTCTGGTCTGGAGAATTCCATGGACTGGATAGTCCATGGGGTCACAAAGAGTCGGACATGACTGAGGACTTTCAGTTTCACTTTCAAACAAGTATTATACATTGTGTATTTAAGTGAAGGCTGAGAAAGGAAATTTGGAAATTGAAAAAGTAGGAGTTGAATGCAGATTAGAATCTAAAGCAAAGCATTACTAATAGCAACACAAAGGGTACCATGGAGGATTAATTCCTTATGTACCTCATTTCACTGTTAAGCACAATCTTATTCATCTGCAACTAAAAAAACATACATAATCCATAAATTATTGTTTGTGTATTTTGTAAAATTTATTTTTCTTGTCTTCATTTTAGAAAGATCATTGTGTTGACAATAACAAAGATTTTCACACACACACAAAAGAAGTGAGACCATTGTGTTAACTATGACCTAGAAAACCTACAGAAAGCCAAGCCTGAGTGAGGGAAGAAGGTGTAGAGGGCTACGGGCCCCTCAGTGAGCATGAGCGTGCTGCTCTATGCCCTCAGATTCAGCGAGTAAAGTCAAATTGAGAGGCTATTTCCTGACAAAGGAGGACTTGGGGTTCAAGTGAAGAGCAAAACAAGCATGACACCGATACCTATGAAATAATGACTCACTATGTTCTGCCTACACCAGGTTTTCCTGAGTTTCTTACTGTATTTAAACTCAAAGTTTTCTAAGGTATTTTAGGTTTTGTTACTCCTTTATTAGAAAGAGAAGACATTTAAATTATTGCAACATGACTGTACCTCTTGGGAAATAGTTATACTGATGCATGTCTGTCAGTAGGAGAGTGAATAATAGCATGCATTAAAAACCTTCATGTGTGTATTAGTCACTCAGTTATGTTCGACTCTTTGCCACCCTATGGGCTATAGTCACCAAGCTCCTTTGTCCATGGACTTCTCCAGGCAAGAACGCTGAAGTGGGTGGCCATTTCCTTCTCCAGAGGATCTGCTCGACCCTGGGATACAGTCTGGTCTTCTGTATTGCAGGCAGATTCTTTACTGTCTGAGCAACCAGGGAAGCCTTCATATATAACATATATGAAGGACCTTCATATACAACATAAATAAAGTGTATCATCATTTAACCTTGTGTGCTGAATCAAAGTAGGGTCAGATTTTCACAAAGACTATTAATGATATAGAATAATACCTACACAGTAAGTGCAAGGATGAGAACAATAACAACAATGTAATGTTAAAGAAAATATAACTATTCTTACATTTTGTCTGAATGAAAGCTGGTAGATGTTGCGAGCAAACATCGAACTTGCTGACAAGATGGAAGAATCTGCTGAGGACATGACAGCAGCAGAAACGGCTCCAAGACCAAAGTAAGAAATGTACACGGGGCAGAGATACTTGAGGACAATCGGCAAGATCATGTCTGCCTCCTGTTTTTCCCTGGGAGCAAGAGGCCCGTATGCAGTCTGGTTCCAGGCTGTTGATAGAAACAACAAACACAGCCAAAGAGCCATCTATCCATCCATCTGGAGTCATTCTATTTACTAGGTAGCTTTTGAAACAAATTCAGAACATATGACCTGGTCTAATCGGTCAGAAATCTAATTAGTCCAATGGGGCATGTTAGTTTAATTAGGTGGCAAGTCCATGTATTGGTCCAGTGACATTGTCTCCTATATTCTGGTATCTAATGAGTTTTGGTTACACTTAGTCTTATCCACAGGACCTGCACAGAATAAGGTGGTGTGAGATTTTTTAATACAAATTTCTCTTCTGCAGTGTTAGAATGGTGTTATCTGGCACAGACTCATTGAAAATAAGTATTCTCAAGCTGAAGCCTTGAGGGTTCCTCCAACCACATGGAGATGTGAGAGAACACATAGTGTTTCATTGCTCAGTTATACACATAAGTGGATAAAGACAACAGTGGGCCTCTTCTCACCCATTCTCTTCCTGGATAAAGCCTTGTGGTGGGAGCTTCCTTGGCATTATTTTTCTCTTGAATAAATTCTTTCTTGCATTGAATTTCACTTATTAGAAATAAACATGAATGGGTCAAAGACAGTCCCTTTTTATTGAATAAAAAGTGCAAGTTTGGGGTTGAAATTTTCAGGCAGGTTTTGGACTGTGGTAAAAGAACTTGAAATATAAGCTTATCTTTGCATATAAATCTTTACTGTTTAGTTATACTAGTATGTAAGAAGAATACAGCAGAAGCTTTAACAGTTGTTTAGTATAGCTCCTTTTTTATTTGTTGAACATTAATGTCACGATTATAGGACCATATAGGGGTGGTTTTCCTTGGACCCTACCATTTTTCCTTCCCTCATTTTCTATTACAATTGTTCAAAGTCATGCTTTTATGTGGTCAGTTTTATAGCATTAACTGGAATATTATGGGACCAGAAATAATATCCAAGGATCAGGAGTAATTAGTAAGTGCAATCAAATTAAGGATGAAACTTAAAAAATGTTCAGGATAGAGGCTAAATGGGAGGTAAGCAAGTCATAAAACTCTTTTTACCAATTTTGAGTAAGATATTCTCTAAGTGCCTTAGTGTTTTAGTTTATCTTTACTTACAAACTTATTGATTGATTTCTCCAAGAAAGGAAACCTTTAATTAACAAACTATTGAAAATGTAAACTGAAGCCTCAAGTTCAAAGTGATCCTTGGGTGGTTACGGTGATGGCAGGTCAACTTCTGAGTCAGTGGTTCTCTACTTTTTTTTCCATTAAAAAAAAATTGGAGTATAATTGCTTGACAATGTTGTGTTAGTTTATGCTGCACAACAGCATGAATCAACCCTACATATACATATCTCCCCACCCTTTCTTGAGACTCCCTCTCAAACCACATCCCCCTGCCCCTGCATCCCACTCCTCTAGGTCATCACAGAGCAACAGAGCTGAGCTCCTTGTGCTACATAGAAGCTTCCACTAACTGACTGGTTCTCAACTTTGACTTACCAAGGGGACTTTTAATAACACCAATCTCTGGCTCTGTCTTAGGTCACTAAAAGAAAATCTCTGTAGAGTAGGATAGAAACGAGTATTTTTTGAGTCCCTCCACCTCCCTGGATGATGACAGTGTGCACGTTGGTTGAGAACCATGGCTGACAAGATCACAGATACACAGTTGATAAATATCCCAACAGTGGTGCTGGGGCCTGCTCACAAATGTCTTATTGGTGAGGTGAGCAGTCAAACAATGTCTGGACTATAAGATGATTTGTTGACGTCTTATATAACAAAGGCAGATACACGATGGGGGTAATGGGGAAAGTGGGGAAGGGAGGGCAGCTGGGTGCTCGCTGGTGATTTGGGTGAAGCCTGAGTGAGTCAATAAGTGAAGCTGCCAGAGGTTTACCTGTCGATGCGCCAATGGCTCCAATGAGCACGGCTGGCAGAGCCATCACCAGGCACCCGAAAGCTGCCAGGAAAGACAGCACCTGAGCGTAGGTGGCGGAGGATGAAGACAGGACCCTCTGGAAGTAGGCTTGCCACGGGATTCCACCCAGCATCTGCATGGGAGCCATGGGGACCCAGGATGAATGGAGGCAAATAGCATCTATTAGTTGTTTTTATTTTTTTTTAATTTCCTGTTTTATTTTTATTATAAATTTTTAAAAAATCTTTTCAAATTGGGGGATAATTGCTTTGCCATGTTGGGTTGGTTTCTGCTCTACAAAAACGTGAATCAGCTATATGCATACATATATCCCCTCCTTCCTCAGCCTTCCTCTCCTTGACATCCCACCCCTCTAGGTCATCACAGAGCACAAGGCTGGGCTCCTTGTGCTGTACAGATGCTCCCCACGAGCTGTCTGTTTTACACATGGGAGTGTATATGTGCTCATTGGGTATTTTTAAAATGAGATTTTTTTTTTTATAATCACATTCAGAATAGTGACAAGCAAGACTCTGAAGCACAGAAAATGGTTCTACATGCCACTCATGGTCACTGTTGTCATTGTCACAGTTTCAACTCTGCAGACTTCCTCAAGTTCTTTTCTTTCATAATTATATAGCACAATATTTTCTTTTCCTTAACTTACCCACTTTACCCAGAAATCTTTAATTTGTTCTCATCTGGAAGTTCTAACCACCACAAAATTGTCTCAAAAACATTAATATTCTGAAACCATGAAGTTTAATTTGAATCAAAACAACCAATGACTATTTCTGGATCCCAGTCATGTGCCAGGCAATGGAATGGTTTTGGAGCCCAAAGATGAGTGAAAAGTGGTTTCTACTCTTGAGATCACTGTCTGATGGGAGAACTAGTGCATTGAGGTATTTTCTAATATACAGAAGATACTAGAAATTCTTTTTATACTCATTTCTACCTTGTACGTAACTGTGAGATTGTTGTTTTATTAAGTGATTTACAAAATGTGTAGTACAGTACGTATAAGCAGCCTATGCCTACATTGGGGTTGTGCTTAACATTCTTATTTGAGAATATATTATAAAAAAATTGGAGACATTGAACTGGAATGTAATTTGTTGATGCTCTAAAGAGGCATTATGGGAACAATAATGAGAAAGAACTAATCATCTGGGGGTAACAGAGGGAGATGGAATGGTGGGAGGAAGACTTGTTAACCAGGGAAGCCCATGGAAATGATATTTGAGTCAATCCTTGGACGTCAAGGGGTGTCAGTGGGTGGAGATGGAGGGAGGAAAGTTCTTAGGAAATAATCCAACATGAAAAAGAAAGAAACCAAGAGGCAGCCATAAGACCACCATGTATTTGGTATAAGCAGAGGTCAGGGTGTGTGGGGGTGGCTAGAGAGGAGACTGGACAATTCTCTAACTGACATAGAGTCAGTGTTCAGTAAATATTTATCATGTGAGTGAGTGAATTGATGAGGGAACTTCCCAGATCACAATGTACTGAAGTTGCTTCTTTGACTGTCTCTCTCATTGGCTCCAAATCCTGGGATATCTGTTTGTTTATCAGTATCTCACATATTGGCTCCAGAACAATTTCCTTCTTATAAAAGCCATACAAGCTCAAAAAGTTGGCTTAAAGCTCAACATTCAGAAAACTAAGATCATGGCATCTGGTTGCATCACTTCATGGGAAATAGATGTGGAAACAGTGGCTGACTTTATTTTTTTGGGCTCCAAAATCACTGCAGATGGTGATTGCAGCCATGAAATTAAAAGATGCTTACTCCTCGGAAGGGAAGTTATGACCAACCTAGACAGCATATTAAAAAACAGAGACATTACTTTGTCAACAAAGATCCATCTAGTCAATGCTATGGTTTTTCTAGTAGTCATTTATGGATGTGAGAGTTGGGATATAAAGAAAGTTGAGTGCTAAAGAATTGATGCTTTTGAACTGTGGTGTTGGAGAAGACTCTTGAGAGTCCCTGGGACTGTAAGGAGATCTAATCAGTCCATCCTAAAGGAGATCAGTCCTGGGTGTTCATTGGAAGGACTGATGTTGAAGCTGAAACTCTAATACTTTGGCCACTTGATGCGAAGAGCTGACTCATTTGAAAAGACCCTGATGTTGGGAAAGATTGAAGGCAGGAGGAGAAGGGGACGACAGAGGACGAGATGGTTAGATGGCATCACCAACTCAATGGACATGAGTTTGGGTAAACTCCAGGAGTTGTTGATGGACAGGGAGGCCTGGTGTGTTGCGGTTCATGGGGTCGCAAAGAGTCGGACATGACTGAGCGACTGAACTGAACTGAACAAGCTCAAAAGCAAAAATAAACAAAATAAAATAAAACAAGGAGAAATTCTAAAATTCATAATCCCATGCCTCAACTCTTATGTGCTTCCAAAACTTTTCCCTTTGTTTTGCAACCTGTGAATCAATCTATCATTAACATCTTCCATGTTGATAAATATTTCATCAATAGTTTCAATGACTGTATGAACTGACATATATAATTTACATACCTATGTCTCTGGACACGTAGGTCATCAAGGTTTGTAGGTCAGGTACAATCTGGCCTCCACTGATGAACAGAAGCTCTGATGGGAAGGTGGAGCAAGCAGTGGGAGCCCCCTCACCAGGGTGTCCAGGGGTGGTGATGAGCACGGAGATAGGATGGACACGTGTGTCACTTACCAACAACAGAAAGCTGTCAAGCCACGTGTAGATTTCAAATGGCTCAATGGTCCCCAGCCAGGGCTTCTGGTACTTGGTGTGCAGGGCTGTGAAGCCAATGTCAGCAACTGCAGAGTTGGACAGTGCGAACGGCACGCTGATCCACTGCAACCAGAGTTCGTGAAAGCGTTAGTGTGACTATCTGGGACATGCAAGATTTCATGTATTAGTTTTTTTTTTTCTCATAGATGGCACAGCTTGGTCATTCCTCTTGTTCAGGGGAGGACCTGGAAGCATGTTCTCTGTGGACACCGTGGAACACTGATTTAGAAAAGTTAGAGTAACACGTTGTCAGCTTCTGAGCTAATTATGCCATATCACATTGACTGCAAAACCTTCGGGAAGAAAACACTGAATTCGAGAACTTTACATATGTTTATGCAAAACATATGAATATATGTTTATATATATATATATATATATATATATATAAAACATGTATTTTCTTGGAATTAGAAGATATCCACTCCTTAAAGTGACTGGGAAGATTTGGCTGAAAATAATTTCTATAGCCTAGGAGCAGTTTCATGGCATAACCAAAACTAATGTCTGGAAAGGTTAAGAGGCAAACACAGATCAGGGTCAAGGTTTAAGTTTTAACTTTGACAGAAGTCCTTGAAGGAAGATCACACGTGTTTCCATCAAATGTCAGCGTGAAGGGAAGGAACCCCCAGACCTTCCTAAGAGTTAACTGAGGGCACTTTTCTGTCAAAATCTCACAATGTGATTAGAGTTTTTCATCCAAGTAATGCACAGAGAAATGCGAAAGTTCCAATTCTGTATGACTTACTGTGTGTTAGTCATGATGGGGAAGTAGGACGTCTATTAGTTTTTGCTGAGTTAGTATGAAATACCATGTCAGCTCTTACAAAAGGAGAAATGAAGGAAGAAGGGAGGGAGGATGGATGGAAGGAAGGATGGAGGGAGGCAGGAGGGAGGATGAAAGGAAGAAGGAAGTCTGTGAATGGCGCTACTCACCAGTCCCACGAAAATGCAAAAGAGCTGAACGACATCTGTGTAGGCCACAGAGTAAAGACCACCCACCAGGGTGTACAGGGTGGCGATGAGCGCTGAGACGATGACAGACATGTGCACACTGGCCCTGATGATCACGCTGATGGTGGCTCCTGCAGGGATGGGATGGGAACAGCCCCAGGTGAAGTTCCACAGTCCAGCTCTTCCTTCTCAGTAACCTGAGTGTGCCTGTACACATCTGTGTTTATATACACATATACACATTCTAAAATGTTCTTTCTTTCTGAAATTAGTGCTTTGCTCACTTATTTATGAGGCAACCTGAAACTCACGACTTGATTACAGAATTCCATGACATAAACTAAACTGAACACTACTATAAGGTCCTGCAATCATTCCACCGACTGCCTGAAACTCTGACTTCATTGAACACATGCAGTGTATTTACTCACATCCATGAGAAAAGCAAGCCTTTATGATGAGCATAACCATCCAGCTTCTCATTTTACAATTAGCATTGATTTGATCTTTTGCATTAACTCTGACCTCTGTCAGCTTTTATTAGATAACACATGGTCTAAGGTACCAGGGTTTGAAATAAATTCATAGGAGAAAATAATAAAATTGGTAATAAAATTGCACTATCCAACTTTTTCAACTTTATGGAAGATTACTTTTATTTTATTATTTCCTGCAGCATTCCAATCTTGTTCCTAGGATACAAATGTAGTGAAGAGTCATAGATTTAGCATCAAGGGTTTTTATATTCCCTTAAAAATTTTTTTTATTAGAGTATAGTTGCTTTACAATTTTGTGTTATTTTCTGCTCTGCAGCGCAGTGAGTCAGCTATGTGTATACAAATATCCCCCTTTTTGGATTTCCTTCCCGTTTAGGTCACCACAGAGCACGGAGTAGAGTTCCCTGTGCTCTGTCGTAGGTTCTTATTGGCTTCTGAGGCCGGACACTATAAACTCCTAGAGGAAAATAGAATCAGAACACTCTCTGGCATAAATTGCTGCAAGATCCTTTTGACTCACCTCCTAAAGTAATGAAAATAAGAACAAATATAAATAAATGGGATCTATTGATATTAAAAGTCTTTGCACAGCAAAGGAAACCACAAACAAGACAACAAGACAACCCCAGAATGGGGGAAAGTATTTGAAAACAAAGCAACTGACAATGGATTAATATCCAAAATATACAAACAGCTCATGCAACTCAGTATCAGCAAGCATCATGTTTTACAGTGATTTTCATCACTATAAGTTCATCAAAATTGTAAACCCGCTTTAGAAATCAATCTATGCTTTTCTAACTTTATGACTTTGTTTGTTGTGTTTGCTGATGTCTACATTTCTAATAGAATATTAATATCATGGTATGGATAGCTGGACCACTGTGGAGTTTTGCACTGTCAGTTCAGCATTCACTTGTTGTTCTATACACCCTTTCCTGTTGTTCTCAAGAGTGGTATAGCTTATATTTTGTATTATTAAATGTAGCAATGATATTCCTCTCACACTAATGTATATGCAACACATTTGTGATTCCTTTGAGTCATTAACTGCAAACTTACATTCTATCCTCACTTCTCAATTGCATGCTAATAGCATATGCAGCCCATCTGAGATGAAAATCCATTATCTAAAGAGCAGTATGAGATATTTTGATCTGAGATAACAGTGCAAAATATTTTTCAAAAGAATCTTCTTCTTAATGTTTTGGTTTAGTGAAAGTGTAAGTCACTCAGTCATGTCTGACTCTTTGCGACCCCATGGACTATACAGTCCATGTAATTCTCTAGGCCAGAATACTGTAGTGGGTAACCTTTCCCTTCTCCATGGGATCTTCCCAACGCAGGAATCAAATTCAGGTCTGCTGCATTGCAGGCAGATTCTTTACCAGCTGCACCACAAGGGAAGCCCATGGGTTGGTATCAAAATTAAATTACTTTCTTTAGTAAAAACCAATTGAGAAAAGGAAAATCTTAGTAAAGAATTGGGAGCAGAAGACAAAGGAAAGAAGTTGGTTATTTACAAGTGACTTTGGACACCTGACTTATTGTTGTATGGATATTTAACAAGTTATTTTCTTTTCTCCTGAGACTATTCACTTCATGTTGAAACTTTAGTTGCAATTCTTTGCCATTCACCTTTGGTCTAGCTCTCTACTGTAATAACAATATTTTAAAGTTATATCCCATGAATTATGAAAAGTTCAATTATTACTCTACTTCTTTTGAATACTGTTTAATTTTCCACCCTCTGGTGAAATTTCTATTAATCCTACACCTCCAAAGGTAGGGAGGCTGCATGTTACAAAAGAAAGATCACTGGATGAGGAGTCTAAAGATGTAGGGTTTACTGTGTGGTGGCTTAGACGGTAAAAGCGTCTGCCTGCAATGCGGGAGACCCAGGTTCGATCCCTGGGTCAGGAAGATCCCCTGGAGAAGGATATGGCAACCCACTCCAGTACTCTTGCCTGGAAAATTCCATGGATGGAGGAACCTGGTGGGCTATAGTCTATGGGGTTGCAAAGAGTCGGACATGACTGAGCGACTTCATTTTCAGTTTTCACTTTCAAGTTACTTCAGTCGTGTCCAACTCTTTGAGACCCCATAGACTGTAGCCTGCCAGGCTCCTCTGTCCATGGGATCCTGCAGGCAAGAACAACAGGAGTGGGTTGCCATTCTAGTAAAAGCTGTCATTTGGCAGTAACTCAGTGGCTTTAAAGAAGCCACCGACTTTCATTTCACTATTAAGCTTGGAATGAATTTTTTTCTCTAAAATATTTTCTAAATCATTCCATCATTTGTAGTGAGTAAAACCAAACCTAGATTCTGGAGCTGCTGTGAAATATTAATTTACTCATGCAGCCAGAAAAATAAATATACTGCAAATAAAGTTATAAAAATTCTCTGAATTTGATCTGTTATGTAAATACACATTTCTTTAAGAAGCTTTAAGGATGTTGTCTATATATATTGAGAAGACAGTTTGAGATACTCCTAAGTTTTACAGGTGAACTATGCACATTCATAGTAAGGTGGTAAAATATCTTGTCCTGAGCTTATTTCTAATAAACACTAATTTTGAAGTATATTCAACTATTATTTTTGAAGAAAACAGAGCTGTTAAATTGAAATACACATTTTTAAAAACTAGAGCATATATTTCAAGAATAGCAGTCATGTTTTCATAAAAGTTCTTTGATATATGTGTATGTAAAGAGAGAGACATTAACATATTTTACATGTATGTTGACATACACACAGATGTAGACACATACTTACTAAAATAACTAATTGCAGCAAAGTTCAGAGTTTAGCTATTATGATTTATATTTCCAAAGTACTTTAGAAATAATAGGTTTTCATTCTATTCTCCCTTTAGGGCTCTGTTACATGAATTGATCCTTATTCAGTGAGAGTGAACATTTTGTATTCTGTTAGATATTCAGCCCACTCCTTTTTTGATATCTCAGGGGGCAGTTTGTTCTTAAAACCACAATTTTCTGGCTTTGAAACCAATGACAAATAAACTACCATTGCTACTGAGAGAAAGGTGGGAAGGGAGCTGTGTGTTTATGTAAAATTTCATTAGGATAGGGCAGGGGTGGTTGTGGAGCATGACCACTCAATGCCAGGAAAGTGCAATATTTTCACTAAATTATTACAGTGAAAATTATTTACCTATTAAATTCACTTCTTTTCTACATTAAGTCATTCCTTCATCTGACAGTTGGAGACCACCAAAATAAGATACAATTATACAGCAGTCTAGAGAGAAAGGGGTGAAGAGTGGCATAAAATATTATCTGATGTTACAGAGACCAAATCTGATGACAACCCTGAAACTAGAAGAGTAGCCTGTGGTCTAATGCATAACACAGAAGGAGATTCATGTCATCTGACTTTTCTTTGGGCCACTTAAAGCCTGACTGTAGATGTAAGCCCATTGATTCTATTTGTAAGAGGAGGTGGAGATGACAGTGTCCTGGATGTCACACAAAGACACAGCTCATAGAGGAAAGACAAGGAAGGCCCAACTCTGTGAGTCTTCAGGAAGGAACTCAACATTCAGTGGCATAGCTTAGACTTATTCTGGATGAAAAGGGAGGGTGCTGAGCCTGAAGCTCGTCCACAATCCCACTGAACTCTCTCACTTTCTAGGTCTTATGAGTGGGCCGAGAACTCAAGGACAGGTTGTTCTTAGCATGGGTGGATCTTGGAAGTAAGTTAGACCACAAAGAGTCTAAGTGCATTTTTCAAATCCCTGAATACGTCTACACTCCAACACTCTGGATGAAATGGGATTCATTGAGAAAGGAAAGACTATTGTTTTCCTTTTTCTCCTTTGAAGAAAGTGTAGGTATGGGTGATTCGTTCATTCATTCATGTGTGATGGGACGATAAATGTTAATAAGACGCAGGCCCTGCCTTCAAGAAATTCATAATTCCTTTTGTGAACGTTTGGAAACTGGGAAATAGGTAAATAGCCATGTAAATACAAAGTAATAAATCCAATGAAAACAAAATTTCTGGTTCCTACAGAATCCCAGAGGAAAGGCACCTGGCAAGTTCAGGATGACTGCCTGGAGGAGCTGACATCTGTAGAAGATTTGAAGTCTCTTTCTGGTTGGTTTGAAAGGAAAGTGGGGGCTGTGCATCCTAAGGAGGGTTCACTGAGCTTGCAAAGTTCTGGAGGAAGGGAGAAGGAAGAGTCCAAAAGGAGCTTTTCAGCCCAGTTTAAAGGTCTAGTTTTAAGCAGTAAAGGGGTGTGATCAGATTCAATCTAATCTACTGTGTGAAGATTATGGGAGAACGGTGGCCTTGTAAGCAGCAGGGTGGTGGTGTTAATCTAGGTAAGCGAGGCTGGGGCCTGTGGCTGAAGATAGTAAAGTTGTGTATCTAATGCTTTTTCAACCAGAGGGTGTATGCGTGTTAAGTCACTTCAATTGTGTTTAACTCTTTGCAACCCTATGGACTATACCCCACCAGACTCCTCTGTGTATGGGATTTTCCAGGTAAGAATACTAGAGTGGGTTCCATTTCCTCCTCCAAGGCATCTTCCTGACCCAGGGATTGAACCCATGTCTCCTGCATTGGCAGGTCGGTTCTCTACCACTAGTACCACCTGGAAAGCTCCCTGCATGCAGAAGGATGTTTCGTTGGTTCTCACCTAAGGCTGAGAAGATGGCTGCCGCCCAGAACATCTCTCCCATCAGTGCAGGGATGAACAGAAGCCCACCCATGCGCTTCCCGTAGATCTGCTGGAAGGGGTCTAGCATGGTCACGTAGCCCTTGGAACGCATGGGTTTTGCAAAGAATAGACCACCTAGAGGAAATTCAAACAAGCTTTAAAGAGAAACTTGAAAACCTGCAATATACAAGTCTTTGCTAATCTTTTACTGTGTATAATTTCTCAAGGGAAATGAATTTTTTAGAATACTTCTATGTGTTGAGGAATCAGTCTGCAAAATTCTGTGAGTACAGGACCAAGAAATATTTAGCAATAAAGTGGAAATTCCTTAACACAACTACCATTGTAGGCATCCAAGGCTGTACATATAGCATGGCCAAATCATGTGGACTGAAAAACGTGGACCAGCTCAGCACTCCCTTAAATGTCTATGCACCTGTATTACCCCCCAGCAGGGCATTCGTTTGATTAAGCACAAGATCCAACAAAAGTATTCTAAGAGCCAAAAAAAAGAAAAGGAAAAAAAAAAAAGGAACTGTGTTAAATAATATTCTTGACCTTTTATTAGTTTGATTTATAACAAGATATTCAGGTACAATTCAAATTGATTCATTTTTAATGATATGTCCACACTATTTTGGAAATAAATAACATCATTACACTAAGAAATTCACTGTGCTGATTGCAAAATGATCAAGGGAATTTTTTCTACATATTCCATAATCAAGAGATCCAGTCAGCTACACATTTGTACACTTTCTGATAACAGTGACTTCAGTGGGATTTTAGGTGGCATTTCCCATAATAGTCATGCTGTTTGACTTTTTCTTTTGGTTGCTATTTATACTCCTAATCTTTATGCTTTACTGACTGAGTCACTCAGGTATAAAGCTTTTCTTACCTAAAATCAGACTAAGAGAATATCCAATGGGTGCCTGAGCCCATGCCAAGCCGTAATCTGGAACATACACGGCCTCAGCTGTCCCGTTGATGTAGCCTCCTCCAACCCAGGTGGCTGAAACAGGATGAGAAGCGAAGGGGAGATGTGTCAGGCCTGCTGTCCCTGAGACCCGCTCGGCCCCACAGGGCCCCCCTGAGCCCCGAGACTGCCACCAGAGACATGGCTGGTCTGGGTGGAAGTGATGAAAGAGTGAAAACTGCACTTTGGATTTCTAAGACTCATCATGGAAAAATAAGTGTTAAGACTTCTCAATCTTTTTTGTACTGGTTACACAACAAAACTAAAACATTCTTAACATACTGAGTTAAGTAATTCTATTGTTTACATTAATTCATCTATTTTTTTGTGCTTTTTAAAAAGCGATATGTAGAAAATTGAAGATTACATTTGTGGCTTACATCATATTTCCACTGAACAGTGTTGCTCTGGATATTTTCTAAATCCACTGAGTCATGGACATTTTGAAATGGTATTATAATATCACAAAGTCTGAGATCATATGTGATATATTTTAAGACTGCTTCTATTCTTAATAATGCTATAACTCTCCCCCTAGCTTCCATAATATGGAATCAAGTGTCTTGATTTCAAGGGCCTTTTATTTTAATTGTATTGATTTTTCCTCATTGATCATGACTATTGTCTTCAAGGAGTGAAGTGTGTGTGTGTGTGCATGTATGCATGCGTGGTTGTGGGTGTGGGTGCTTTCCATTAACAGAGTCACTTCGCAAACATGCTGGGTGCATAGGGTTTTGGCAAATCTGTTCCAAATGATAATGCAGTTGTACTTACTACCTTACACTGTTAAGCAAGTGGAGGGAGGAGGGTGCCGGGTGATGTGATTGAGCTTAAATTGCTTTTTCCTTTTCTGTCTCCGCAAGGACCTGACCTACACTTAGGGCTAGGGTCAGCCTTCAGGAGAATTAAAATGTTGACTGCATGCCCATTTGCAAGTCTTTGTTCTAATCTGGGTCTTTCAGGCAGACATTTGATATTTCATAAAGAATAAGAAGAACTATGTCTTCTTCAGATATTATTTAATAACATTTTTGTAGCACAACAGCTGAAGAAGGGAGGCCACAGAATCAACAAAAACATGTTTTGATTAGACAACTTTGGGTCCAAAATGATCTATAAACTCTATCATTTTCTCTGAGAAGAACTGTAGTAGTTGATTTTTGCTGAAATGCTAAAGTTAATGGAACTGTCTAATTGTGGCAGTTTTTACCCTTTGAAGAGTATTGTCAAACTATTTACAATAATCCCTAGGTGTAACTGCTGTAAAGTTATGAGAAATAGAGGCTGGCACGAAGCTTACCAAATATGAGACTGAATTCTGGGCTGCAATGGGGAGTAAAATTTGACTCTGAAAAATTCTCTGAAATTTCACAGTTAGAATATTCATAAAACTAATTTGTTTATGAAACTGCCAAAGACAAGTGTTTCTTGCCAAAATTTATCTGGCATTTAATCCAAACCCGAAGCAAAGGGGAGAGAGCCTTCAGTGATTGATCCAATTTTTAAAAGGTCAACCTGCAAAGACCTTCCTGCAAAGGAACTTTATATACACAAATGGAGAGTTTATACACAAAGTCCTCAAGTGGACAAATGATATTTAGCAGCCACCCCATCTTCACAGCAGCTTTTCCATGGTGTTGATCAATAACAAATGTTATGATGCGCTTTTCTTATCCTAAACCTGGTGAAATTTTAAAGACTTTCCTCCCCACCTCCCCACAACTGGCAAGTAACCAAGACAATGACTTCTCACAGCACAGCCCCTGAGACCTCACCTTCCTGTCAGGCATCTTCGACTCCTAACACCACACAAGGAATGTTTTGTCACGTTAAGTAAATACCTGATGGTCTTATTAGTGATCTTATTAGGTCTTATTAGCACAACATTTGTTAGTGATCATTTTTCATTGTGTAGGTATCCTCTCCATCTCCAGAAAGAAAACTGGTGCTTGAGTTAAAACATCATAATTACCAACTATAGTATTAAAGTACTATAATATAGACAGGTGGACTTGGGTACTTTTTTGTAATTAAATTCCCTCCATTGTTATCAATATGGTCATTTGCATGTTTGTATATTTTCACATCAGATTCTTGAGAACAAGGATTCTTTTAAATCATATGCATTTTTATTTTCAATTTTTATTCCTTATCAAATAACACAATCAATGAATCTGACAAGTTTAGATAATATGGTTCAGATTTTAATTGAACTATGATATTGATCAAGGCTCTGTTTGGTTCTGAGAAAAAAATCTTTAAAAGCTAAGTTCAAGCAAGACATGTTATAAGAAATATCATAATTCAAATTTTTTCAATATAGTTTAACAGCCTATTAGATTAAAATCACTCTAAATGATAAAAGAACAAATTCTGAGATATTACCTTTATGAATATAATTAATGTATTATTTAATTAGAGTAGTAGAAAGTTACCATAATTTACAATTAATAAAATACTTCAGTATGCAACAGTTCATTTATTCTTTTCAACCATTTGAGTGAAATCAACAACTGTCATTTTATTTTGCTTTTCTTCTTATTTTCTTTGTCAAAAGAGAAATCTGAGGGAGATATAATTACAATGCTTTAATTCACTTCAGATACCAGTATCCCATGTGGGTCTTTAGAGGAAAGAAGAGATGTTTGTGCTCTAATGAAAACTGAAGATGAAGACACAAAGGTGCCTGTATTGTTCATCAATAGCTGGATAATAAGGAAAAAAAAACAAGAAAATCTGCACCAACGTTTCAGTAAACATCTGCAGGTGATAGGTAAGTGGGTGATTCTTAGTCTTCATGTTTTTCTATTTTTTCTGGTTTTGTTTATTATGCATCATAGAAAATATTTTGTAAAACACATTTTTTTTCTGTATGTGTGTTTATGTAGAAAAAATGAGAAACAGGGTAAAAGAGGGCTCTTTTCACCCTGGGTATCTTTATGGAGAAGTGGGGAGAGGCTGGGTGTGGTTCACTGAGTGGCTGCCAGACCTGGCTCTGGTCCTTACTAACCACACAAGTCTGGGTTCTGACGTAGCCCAGAGCCCTTCTGAGTGCTGTCATGAAGATCGAACAAAACCATGTATGATTGGCAAAGAGTTAAACAAATAAAATGTGAATATCTGAGAGGCAGAATCGACCATCAATAAATTATTCTATGATACTGTAGGTTTCAAACGGCCAAACAGGGATGCAGGCTGCCCACATTGGTTTGGAAAACTTTTCGAAATACAGGGTTAATCATTTTTAACTAGCACTTCAGGACTGAAATTTGGTATCATTCTGATATGGTTTCCAGTGGGATATTTCTCCACTGGGCACTCATAGTAATCCTGTTGGTATGGATTATGTTGATAATATTTAAAAACCTAATACAACTCTAAAATGAAATGTGTGATGTTAGTGAATATGTATCAAGTGATAGTATGGATATGATTTTAAATTGTTGTTTTTCAGTATTATTTGTAGATATTAACAACCGAGAAGAATAGAAAAGAAAAACAAGCCACCACTTAATCAGAACCACCTTTGGGCGAAGGAGGAGAGACTCTGGGGGCTTCTGGCATGGAGGGGTTTGAATGGATGACAGCTGCAGTTGGTGGCTGAAGGATTCTTACTAAGACACACCCTGATTTTTCCCTTTCATATCAGTATTCCTCAAACCTTTTCCTCAGATCCGTGGATTCATAACACGTGATCGACTTCCTGTGAGTAAAATTACTTCACTACATGGGAGAATAAGGTTTCAAGACAGGACATCAATCAATTTGGAATTGGGCTGCCCCCAAATTGACTTATTTAGTTTTAAAACCATCACTGGTTAGTGTTCACTGACTAGTTAACATTCATTAAGACAGCTCAGTCACAACTTGATGCCTGTAGTAAGGAGTAAAAGGAGATGCTGCCTGCATCACATTGATGAACAGAAACACAACTTGTGAGACTCGGGCACTTCTGCACATCCCCCCTCCCCCACCTTTGTTTTCACTGCTTCCACCCACCCAGCTGCCCAGAGCCCAGATTTCTCTCACTGATGCTCTGCCCAGTAACTGATAATAACATCATCTGGTCCAGTGCTACTGGGTTGAAAATATTTTAAAAGTATATAAGTAGTGAACACAGACTCCCTCAAGGACAAAGAAGGAGGTTGGCTTTGTTCGCCAGAAGAGCTATGGCAGGGATGGCACAAAGGTGGGTGTGAGGGGACCCACCTGTCATGGTGAATCCGCCCACCAGCAGCCCGATGTCGCGGCCGCCCACGATGATGGCCTCGCTACGCTCCTCCGCACTGCCACTGTTCTTGGTCCTCCAGGCAGCCCAGATGCCAACCAGCAAGATGAGAAGGTAGAACACCACGATGGCTACCAGCCCTTCCACCTGGAAATCCATTGTCACTGAGGGCTTTGGGCTCTGCCGCGGCAGCTACTTCATTAAGACTTCTGCGAAAACACAGACGCCTTACAAGCCAGCCAAGCAAATACAGGCAGCCCGGGTAGACCAGCTGGCTCCTGAGCGGTGGCCACTTAAAGAAGAAGTGCATTGAAATCCCATGTTCACCTGTGGCTGTCAACAAGCCTCCATTCCATCACTTTATTTCTGTTCAACAACTGAACCTTGTCTTGGGTTTGGAAGAAACAGAGAAAATGGGGGTTTTGCTGTTTAAGAAATGTACTCATTTTGTATTAAATTCTTGCAATGTAAAATTAACCTTGTGTTTTAACCCGGTAACTTGGGCAAGAAGACACTCACAAACAGCAAGTCTATATTTACTTTGGAACCAAGTACTATTCAGTCCAGAATTGTTCAGCAGTGTAGATGCATCATAAAGATTCACTCTGAGAACCCATGGATAATCATTCATTCATTCAATCATCATCCCATCCCTCCTTTCACACATCTTCAGGGAGTGGTTCCAAAAGTAACCTGACATGCAAATATCTGGGGAAAAAAATTAAGGAAGATCAACTTCAAAACCACATGGGCCTCCAATTTTCAACAAGTGCGGGAGGATTAAGTTATGGCAACCACTAAACGGTTGTGCTGTTTAGAGGGTCTCCCTCCGTCGACCCTCCCCATCCAGTTTCTTCCCTCTCTCCCCGGCTCCCTCAGTGGCACACACGGGGAAATGACTTAAAAATACAGAAAAGCCTGAAACATAACGGAGCATCACAAGCACTAAAAGCAAGACCCTTAGAAGAGACGCGTCAAGTTCTAATGCCTTTAATTTCTAGAATTCTTGTTCTCTCGTATCTTCCTCTTGTGCCCGTGGCTATCCATTCTCCACAATTGGCACAGACAAGTTTTTGGGGAAGCCAGACCTTCGTGCATGCAGATGGGCGACAGACCTTGGGCCAAAGAAGCAGCCTCCGTCCCTTGGGCTCAGAGAAGGCGAAAGGAGCGCGAGTGGCGAGTGAGGGGTGAGCTTTGCCTTTGCAGCTTTAGCACCCCTTGTTCCCCTCCCCACCCGCAGGTCTCCCCCATCCTGCTCCAGGTCGATCCTTCTGCGCCCCAGGGTCCCTCCTGCGCCCGCGGCGTCCCCCAGACCCCCACTGCACCCCGACTTCACAGCCGCTCGCACCCGAGGACCCAGGCTTCGAGACCCGACCCGCCGGGCGTCCCCGCGGGAGGCACAGAGCCGCGTCGGAGGGGTGGCCCGACGCACTCCTACCTGGAGTGGCCGCCGCGCAGGGAAGCGCTCCGCGGGTTCAGGCTCCTCTCGGCGGAGGCTGCACCGGACACTGGCGTGTGGTGGGGGCGCAGGGCGGCAGGCCAGGAGGGTCCGGCTCCCGAGGCTCCGCACCCCGAGTCTCCAGAATCGCTGCGCGCGCGAAGTTGACAGGTGTGGGCGCGGCGCGGGGCGCTCGGCGCGGCCAAGTGGCGATCGATCCAGTATTGGCCACTGTCCCCTTTATAAGGGCGGCCGGTCGTCAGAGCCGGGGAGGCGGACGCCAGAGCAAAGTGCCCCGCGAGTCGGCGGGCGTGGGGCACAGGGGACGCGCCGGAGCCGCGGGCCGGGCTGCGCTCTGGGCGCGGGGCCAGCGCCGCCGCGGGGTCCCGGCCTGACAACGCGGGCGCGGCGCGGCCACTCCCGCTCCCTCCTCCAGGAAGCGGGGCTCGATTCCCCGGAGTCATTGCCAATTCCTACTATCCACGACTCTGGTTGGAAGCTGGGAATGGGGAGATGGGGAGGGTCTCAAGAAATTGTTTTCAGGTGGAGTCTCTGGAGGTCCAGCAGAGGGGAGGGGTCTAGGGAGTCTTGCCTCTCCCAGACTTTGGTTTCTTGAGGCGCCACACGCTGGTGTGTGAGGACCCCTCCCCGGGTCCTGGTGGAGGCTGATCCTGGCTTCTCTGTGATGGCTTCTTTGAAGAAGACATCTCACAAAGGTTTCGAGAATCAGTTTTAAGTCCATACCCTTTCTACCCTTTGGAGTGGTATGAAACTATGGGGGTGTCATGTCAGCAAGCCAAGGTTGAGCTGAACAGGTTGCTTGCCCACCAATGTACCTTTTCCAGTGCTGTAAAATTTTGCTATAAAGTTTTAAATATCTATCTACACCTAGACATCTATATCTGATACCTAGATTATATATCCGCGGATATAGTTGCATGTCTATAGCTATATTTACATCTAGCTATATTTCTGCGTCTATGGAGATAGATATAGATAACTGTGTGTATTTCTGTAAGTGTGTGCGTGTAGGGGAGAGAGGAGAGGGAGGGGAGACACACACAAAGACAGCCTCTCTGGCCACTCTCTCACTCAGCTCCATATTCCACCAGCCATGCCACTGAATTAAGCAGTGACATATGAAAACCTAATAATTAACAGAATAAGTAATAGTGTTTGTTAACGACGGTCCACCTCTCTTGATGCAAAATTTCAGCTCATCCCCTGGTTTTGTACACTGGATTTGGAAACGAACATTCACATTCCCATCACTACTGCTTTTCTTTGTTCTCTATAAACAATGATAGCATCCAACCACCTTGTTTGAGATAAAGCCTGGGGAGGTAAAACTCTTCAGTTAGAGAAGGACCTGTGAGTACAGTTATCTTGTCTGATTTGTATGATTAACCCTGGAAAATGATTGCATAGCCTGTCAATATGACTCCATTTTTAAACAGGTAAGGGTTATGAATTTAAGCAATTTTAAGAAACTCATGGAGGGAAGACAGAGGTGAGATTTCGTATAATTACTGAAATGCTCTTAGCAGAGATTCATTCATTCATTCATTTTGTTTTTGACAGTAACTCAATTTCTGCTGCTGAGCTTTGCCCACAGGTTAACGTCTTCCGTACCAGAATGGACTTCGGGTGATGATGGCGGAAAGCATGTAGCAGTGTGGCAGGACAGGTATGCGTAGTGGCTGTGTGTAAATTATTGTCCATGGTTAAGGTCAGGCTCAGATCCCAGGAGGGATGAAAGAAGAGGCTGTCCTCAAAGAAACATCACCAGGGCTTAAGGGACAAGTGTCGGAATGCAGCCAGGGCAAGAGCTCTCCTTGGGGCCCACCTAATCCACTTTAAGATGCGGGACTTGCCAGACTCCAGACTTGGAGCCAGATCTGGGAGGCACAACGACCTTGAAGATGGCCAGACAGATTTTGGCCTGGCAGAGGAGCTGTCTGTCCTTCATGACAAAGAATGCCAGCAGAAAATAACAACCGCTGACGTGTTGCGTCCACTTCTGGGGAGACATTTGCTCATCTGCTGGGTCCTTGGAGCTCCAGTGTCTGATCCCAGGATGACGCTGCTGCGAATTTCTGCTCCAGGATGTGTTCCCTCTGACACTCACTCCTCTGTTGTCATCAACATGCCTCTCCCTCTCCACTCACCTGGGAATGCATGATCACACACACGGTTAGAGAAATGGGTGTCAGGGGAAGATTGATTACAGCTTTGTTGGATAAAAAAGCAGTGATTGCCTTTCCAAATCGTTCATTTAACAGACTTTTCCAGAGTGTCTTCTATGTTCAGAACATGGTCCTGAGTACAGAGAAATGTGCAGACAATGATATAACTCCTGCTCTTATGCAGTTTATCATTAGTGAAAGGAAAGAAAAAAAAAAAAAAAAAAACTAGCAAAAGCTGTCCTCCTGTACGTTCTTATAAATTCTGGGAAGGATGTATTATATTTGTGCACATGGATTTTAGGGAAAACAGAAACAAAAGGCCTTAAACAGAAGAGGGTTTTCTTCCTGGAGAAGGGAGAGCAATCATTCAACAAACTCATTATGTGAACACTCACTATACATCAAGAATTGTGATCAGTGGTAGGTATATAGTTAAGTGACTTGAGAGAGGAGACCCGTACTCAATGGGCTTGAGCTTTCCAGGTGGCTCAGTGGTAGAGAACCTGCAGTGCAGGAGCTGCGGTTAGACTTCCGGGTCGGGAAGATCCCCTGGATGAGGAAATGGCAACCCACTCCAGTATTCTTGCCCGGGAAATCCCATGGACAGAGGAGCCTGGCGGGCTACAGTCCAGGGGGCTGCAAAGAGTTGGACATGACTGAGCGACTGAACAACACCACCAACAGGCTTACAGTCTGCAGCCTTGCTACTTAAAGTGTGGTCCTTGGAGCAATAGCACTGGTACCATCTTTTCTCTTAATAACTTTGAGAAAGATCACTTGGCATACACATTCTGAACATGACTCAGATACGGATGAAAATGCACAGTGAGATTTTGGGGGATCCATTTTTCTTAAATCATTGCCTTTTATCTTGCCCTAGTTTCCTCATTATAATTTCTGCTTGAACCTTTCACAATTTTTAGTTGATTACTTTTATCTTCAATGGCATCGTTGTCCTGTCATTTCCAAACCAGGATGATGATCAGAATCACAGAGTGCTTTAAGAATTTAATGCCTTAGGGCTCCACAATAAGAATTCTGGTTTGAGAAATCGTGGGTAAGAGTTGAGATCTTTTTAAAATTGACTTTCTTTTTTTTTTTCCTTTTTTTAAAAAAGTAGTTTTAGTTTCAAAGCAAAGGAAAAGAGAGTATCTGAAATCCTCCCTGTCCCTCCATATACAATGTTGTTGTTTAGTTGCTCAGTCGTGTCCGACTCTTGTGATCCCATGGCCTATAGCACACCAGGCTTCCCTGTCCTTTGCTATCTCCCGGAGCTTGCTCAAACTCATGTCCACTGCATTGATGATGCCACCTAACCATCTCATCCTCTGTCACCCCCTTTCCTCCTACCTTCAATCTTTCCTAGCATCAGAGTCTTTTCCAATGGGTCAACTCTTCGAATCAGGTGGCCAAAGTCTGGGAGTTTCAGAATCAGTCCTTCCAATGAATATTCAGGGTTGATTTCCTTTAGGATTGACTGCTTTGATATCCTTGCCATTTCTATGAAGGCCACACATGCATAACCTCCACCATCATCAACATTCCCACCAAAGGGTAGGTTTGTTACAAAGGATGAATCTACCCTGACATGTCATCACCCAGAGCCTATAGTTTACCTTAGGGTTCACTCTTGTACAGTTTGTGGGTTTGATCCCATGTTTGAAGGCGCGTGTCCACTATTATTATGTTTCACTGCCTGAAAACTCCTCTGTATCCCACTGATTCATCTCTTCTTCTCTACTAAGCTGTGGCAACACTGATCTTTTTACTGTCTCCATATTTTCACCTTTTCCAGAATGTGCAGTAGTCTTCCCTTATCAACAGTTTCATTTCCTATGGTAACCCTCGTCTGAAAATATTAAAAGGAAAAATGCCAGAAATAATTTATAAGTTTCAAATTGGGTACTGTTCTGCTTAGTGTGATGAATTCTTGCTCCATTCTACTCTGGACATGAATCATCCCTTTGTCCAGCAGATCCGCACATTAGCCACTTAGTAGGCATCTGGATTCTTAGATCCTTTGTCAAGGTATCTTGGGGCTTGTCTTCAAGTCACCCTTATTTTACTTAATAACAGCCCCAAAGCATAAAAGTAGTGATGCTGATAATTTGAATATCCCAGAGGGAAGACATAAAGTGCTTCCTTTAATGAGAAGGTAAAAGTTCTTGACTTCATAGGGAAAGAAAAAAATTATATGCTGGGGTTACTAAGAACTATGGTAAGAATTAATTTTCTATCTATGTGATTATGAAGAAAGAAAAAGAAATTTGTGCCAGTTTTACAGTTGCATCTTGAACTGCAAAAGTTACTGTCACAGTGTATGATAAGTAAGTGTTAGTCACTCAGTTGTGCCTGACTCTTTGCGACCCCATGGACTGCAGCCCACCAGGCTCCTTTGTCCATGAGATTTTCCAGGCAACGATACTGGAGTGGGTTGCCATTTCCTTCTCCAGGGGATTTTCTCAACCCAGGGATCGAACCCGGGTCTCCTGCACTGCAGGCAGATTCTTTACCGACTGAGCTACAAGGGAAGTCCACAGTGTATGATAAGTGCTTGGTTAAGATGGAAAAGGCATTAAATTTGCACAATAAGGTATTAAGAGGAGGAGAGAAACTACATTAACATAATTTTATTATCCTATTTTATTATTTTATTGTTAACCTCCTATTGTGCCTAATTTATAAATTAAACTCTATCATATGCATGTATTTATAGGATAGAACATAGTGCACTTAGGATTCTGTACTTGCCATGGTTGCAGGCATCCACTGGGGGTCTTGAATTTACCCCCTGGCCCCACCCCAGATAAGGGGAGACACACAGTTGTTGGAATCAAAAAGTGTGCAGACTTTTCAGAAGGACTATATTCTTTCAGTCATGTGAAAGAATATGTGAAAGTTCCTCCGTGACTTTTCATGGCTTGAGATCAGATCATTTGCAAAGATGTGGGTGGATCTAGAGCCTGTCATACGGAGTGAAGTAAGTCAGAAAGAGGAAAACAAGTATCGTATATTAACGCCTATATGTGGAATCTAGAAAAATGGTATGGATGATCTTATTTGCAAAGCAGAAATAGAGCACAAATGTAGAGAACAAAGGTGTCAAGGGGGATGGGAGTGGGGTGGGATGAACTGGGAGATTGGGATTGACACA